TAAGTTTTATAGTTTGTTTTAGATAAATTGTGGTGGTTTATGAGACTTATGGTATAATTTTTAGGACTTGTGGTATGTTTTATGAGACTTGTAGTATACATGAGGTTAGTTTTAATAAATTTGTGGTGTGTTTTATGCATGGACAAGAAAACCGGGTCGTACCAGCCGGTTCAACTGGCTCAATCGAAAACCGAACCCAGGACGATACGGTAGGTTGTTAACGACCAGAATATCGTGCCGCCTGCTTTTCCCGGTTTAGCTGGCACAATAGGAAATACCACCCAGTTTTGGTCTAACCGACGGTAGGCTTATGGGAAGGATACGTCGTCATTTTTGGCACACAAAAAAATCGACAGAAGGCCTAAAACGCAAAACCCTAATCTCTAAGGCAAATCGGCCAAACGAAAAAACTGGAGTATTGTTTCTTTCTCGCCAACCCAGCCCCGCCCCGCCGCTCCTCCTCTTCTCCTATGGCAGCTGGCGACTAGGAACCGCCGATCCGTGACCGGCGAGGCGACCCGCGATCCCTGCTTTGCTCCGCTCTAGCTACCAGCGACCGACCACCCGCGATCGTCGACTGGCAACCAGCGACTAGCGATCTCTTCTCCACTGCGCTCCACCACTCCGTTGCTCCTCTCCGCTCCTTCTTAGCCGACGCGCCTTTCCCTCCCCTGCTCAAGAACGCAACGCACTCGAGTCTCCCTCCCTTGCTCAAGAACGTGCCGTCTGGGAGACTGGTGACTGCTCAAGAACGCGGGCATAGGTAAGGAAAAATTAGAACGCCAAGTTTTTAGAAAAAATAGGTTGCTCAAGAACGCCTGGGAGACTGCTCAAGAACGCTGAGTTTTTGCCTTTTTGGAATTTGGATGTTTTTACTGATTTTAAGTATAATGTTGAGTTTTTTGTTTCCAATGTTCTGCCCTTTATTCTAATGAGAATTTTGGATGTTTTGGCAGCAATGGCTAGTGGAGAAGAAACATGATCAGTTGATCAAGGAGCAGCCCCTAGTAATCCCAATGTTGCCGCAAAGTGTGTACGAAGTAAAAGTGATCCAACTTGGGCTCATTGTTCCCTTCATCAAGATGGAAAAGTTGAGGTACTCACTTGTCTCTATTGTCAAAAAGAATTTAGAGGTGGATGAATCACTAGAATGAAAAAACATCTAGCTGGTGTTAGTGGGGATAATGCAATATGCTCAATGGTTGCTTCTGAGGTGTGCCAAAACATGCAGAAGCTTTTGACTAATTATGAAACTAATAAGAAGAAATATGGAGTTTTCAAAGCTGTATTTAAAGAACCTCGTGATACAAGTTCTTCTAGCTAGATCGAGCTACCTAATGTGTCTACGGGTTCGGTATGCAAGCTTCTTAACATGAGGCATAGATGAAACTAGTCCATCTATGCCTCATGTTAAGAAGCTTGCATATCGAGCTACCAAGGTCTCCAAATTTTCTTTTTGAAGTCCATTGATGCTTCTGGTTTGGTCAAGAGTGGAAGGAACTTGTTTAAGAAGCTTTGTGAAGTCCATCTATGCCTCATGTTAAGAAGCTTGCATATCGAGCTACCAAGGTCTCCAAATTTGTTTACAATCATGGTACAATTTATTTCTGGTTGAAGACAAAGGAGAATTGGAAAGAAATAGTGAGGCTTGGTGCTAGGGATGGCAACAAAACCCGAACCCACGGGTACCCACCCGACCCAATCCGGTCAACGCGGGTAAAATCCGTGTTGACGGGTTTTGGGCCGGGGTCGGGTTTAAACCCTTTCACTATTCAACGGGTTGGGTTTGGGTTTAGGTAAACTCTCCCCATGGGTACACGCCCACACCCATATACTTAATTTTCTCGGTATGTTTAATATTCTAAACAACTAATCTTATTTATGTTTGTGGAGACATATCTAATTTTTTCTTTCTAATTGTGTAGAATGAAAGTTGATGTTATTGAGTGGAGAGTGAAGAAACTTAATTGACAAGGAGAAAGAAGCTTTCAATTAATCATGTTATTTATGGATAATTTGTGATTTGCTTCAATTTTCTTGAGTTTTTTAGATTGGTATTGAACAATTTGTATAGTTAATTTGTGATTTGCTTGAATTTTCTAGAATGGTGTTTTATATATGGATAATTTGTATTGAGAGATTGATATTAGACTTAAATTTTGATAGGAACTTGTTATTGTAAATTTTTTACAACAAAAACCCGTGGGTACCCATGAACCCGCGGATACCCAGTGGGTTGGGTTGGGTTTGAGTTTTTCAAACCCAGTGGGTTTTACCGCGGGTTTTTTTCACGGATAAACCCATGGATTTGGATTTAGGTTTGGCAAAACCCGACCCATTGCCATCCCTACCTGGTGCTACTAGATTTGCTATACATTTCTGAGTTTGCAAAGTACTTTTGAGCACATGATGTGAAATGATGTGAAGACAATTGTACTCGATCAACAGTTTTGGGCTGATTGTGACTTCATTGTTAAGTTGACAGCTCCAATTGTTAAGTTGCTTCGAGTTGTGGATTCAGATAGTAAACCAGCAATGGGGTATGTGTATGATGGGATCACTAAAGTGTCAAATGCTATTATGACAATTTGTGGAGATAAGGTGGAGATGTACAAGCCATACATGGATATCTTTAATAGGAGATCGGATAAGAACTTAAGCCGTGATTTGTTTATGGCAGTTCACTATCTTAATCCGGCTATTAAGTATGCTGATGATTGGACAGAGGATAGGGCGGTTACGTTTGGACTTCTTAATCTTCTTGAGAACTCGTCTTTAAGTCATGATAATAATGTGGTGGTGGCGGAGATGAATTTGTATGCTGAACGGTTAGGAAACTTTGGGAGGAATATGTCAACAGATTCTGCAGAGAAACAACAACCAGGTAATTGATATCACTTGCATTGAAGTTCTTCTATTTATTACAATATTTAAGAAACTAACATGTATATTTTATATGTAGATAAGTGGTAGAAATGGTTTGGCATTGATGCTCCAACTATTCACAAGTTGGCTATTCGAATTCTTAGCCAAACTGCTTCTTCTTCTGGTTGTGAACGTAATTGGAGTGTCTTTGAATGTGTGCACACCAAAAGAAGAAACAGATTGCAACATAAAGTGCTTAGTAACTTGGTGTTTGTGAATTACAACTTACGATTGCAGAATAGGTAATGATTTGAATTATAGAACTTGAGTGTTGAATTCATACTTTCTATGCTTACTATTGAATTGAATTATTTTATGTTTTCTACTTTGATTAGGGAGTATTATACCAAGAACAACAAAGAATCATATGATCCCATAAGCCTTGAAAGCATTGATTCTACTGTTACTATTCACTGGTTGTCAGAAGGGGAAGAAGATCCATCTTTTAGAGAAAAAGGAATTGTATATTGATGAGGTGGATCGAGCATTAGAAGAGGAATGTTTGTTTGTAAATCAGCTATGTATGATATGAATTCTAATACTAATAATTGATAATAATTCTTACTTGTGTTTCTCTTGTGTTGTAGTTGGTGATGAAGAAGATGAAGGGAATGACTTGCAGAATGTAGACTTATCTACATTTGTTGTTGTTTGAAGATATGGAACTTTGTTTGTGAACGTTGTAGTGCTTGCTAGTTTGAGTTTGGTAGTTGTGAACTTGTGGTTTGAGAATGTTGTTTGGTTGTTTTGTATTTTGAACGAAAATGAAATGTTCTTTGGTTTGAGAATGTTGTTTGAACTTGTGGTTTGAGAATGTTGTTTGGTTGTTTTGTACTCGATCCTAAACAAGCATTTGAACGATTATGTAGTTAATTCAGTAATGTTGCAGTTTGTTGATTGTTATATTACCTATGCCTATTTAGTTTATTCAGGTTTGTTATCCGATATATTCTGGTTTATTCCGGTAGTACTCGAAAACGGTATCCTGAATCTGCCGGTACGTTTTTTAACAAAAATATATTTTTTAATTACAAAAAATATCGATACACAACGGTTGAACCACGGTCGTACCACAAAATACCCTACCATTGACGGATCCGGTATGACTTCCGTTACGGTTTCTTTTACCATGGTTTTATGAGAGTTGTGGTCAACACACTTGTGATGTGTTTCATGACATTTGTGATTTGCTTTATGGAAGCTGTGGTTTGATGCAATCGTAGAAAGTGACCCAAAGCCATTCCAATTGAAGCTTAGAAGGCAAGGCAACCTGTGGAAACAAGAAGGGCAGAAAATAGCTAAGTATAGAAACTGTGTGGATATACCATCTTTGGAAGCATACTCGTTCAGTTTGAGGGACATTTGAGTAAAGTTAGGAGTTTGAAGACTTGTTAGAGACTGTGAAGAAGTTGGTTAATAAACTTGTGGTGTAGTGAGGTTGTGAATAATTTTCGGTAATTAATTATGAATAATTTTCGGTAATTAATTATGAATAATTTTTTGATACATATAGATTGATATTTTTTAGTCATATATTAATTTACCAAATTTTTATAAATAAATAATTATATCATGAATGATTTAAATGCTAACAAAATTATTTTATCATATATATTTTTTCTAAATGGATCCACTCTCCACAAAATCCTGACTACGTCCCTGGTTGTGGTAATCTCCTTTCTAAAATTTGTGGTCTAGATTTGGTGGTATACACCATTTTTTTTTCCAGAAAACACACGTAAATTTCCCATCCCCTAACTTTCATAATACTTAAAAAGTGTTTGTCGTTCCTTTCTCCTTCATATGTCCCCTATCTTTTTTTTGCCATAAGTGTACAATATCATATATGCCCTATTATGATAATTTGTATTTTCCAACTCGAACCTCACCTTGCCAGAAATGTTGACTCGCCGTAGTAAAAAAAGGAAGGAGCACGGTATACGTGCATGCATGTTCTTCTCATTTCAGTATCATGCTCCTTGTGTTGTGGGTAGTACGTACTCCCAGCACTAGCTACTTTGATAAGTCATTCATTTTTCGCTGCCTGGAGAGTCTTAATTAGATTCAATACATATGTCGTTCTTCCTCCTTCAATTTGCTTAAAACTTCTCTCTCATTCACCGGTGATTTAGCTCTGGTCGATCGATCGGTACCTCGGCACACCAGCTAGCTAGCCCTCCGTACAGTCCAGGTACCTACCTAGCTACCTAATTTCTCTTCTTCAATTCTTTTAGGAAGAAGAACATCTTTTATTATGTGCTTTCATCCTTGTTTATGTATTTGAGGGTATAGCTTAACCATTGAATATTTGATTGATCATTCGTTTCATCATCAGGTAATCGATTACAACTCGGCCGGCCGGATAGCTAAGTCACTCACTCATCCTCGCTATAGCTCGTTAGCTCTCTCTGCCGGCTGCAATGGAAAACAACTCCGCCGCCTCGTCAAGTTCCTCCTCGGTCAGATTTTGAACCTACCAATTAACATTACCATTTTAATTGTCTATCTAGCTAGCTTAAACTAATAGGTACAGTAGGGCTTTTAGGTACGTAATTATATATATATGTGTCGTTGTACGTGCATGCATGACGAATGTTTCGGTGTATATATGTTGTCGATTTGGATTTCCTAGCTAGTGGGTTGCTATATAATTAGCTACTCTACTGTGAATTTGGTTTCCTTTGTTTGGACCTTATATTATATTCAGGCTCTCAATGTCAATGGGGGAGCGGTGGTTGGTGGAGATTTGAAACGGGCGGCAGCAGTAGACCAGGCCGAGAATGGGAAGGCGGCAGCCGGTGCAAAAAGAGCCAAAACTTGCTCTTCCCGCGAAGAAGACGTGAAGCGGGCTCTGAAAGGACACGGCGGTACTACACAAGCGCCAGGCGGCCAAATCATTCCCATCGTCAGCCTTCCCACCCAGTATCCAGCCTACATGGACCATGCGCGATTGGACAATCTGGAGTTGATGATCTATGGCGAGACGTTGCCCTCCGAGGACGCCGGCTGCGTCTACAGAAACGAGCTTCGCCAGCGTTCCTACCAGCAGTTCCTGGAGTTGGTGTTGGACCGGCTGGGGGAGCTGGGGATCGAGCGCCTGGGTTTCGATCGGCAGCATCCATGTCCCATCACCTTCTACCGCCGCATACAAGGCAACGGCTTCATACAGTTGAAGGTGCGCGACCATGTGTTCACGCATTGGCTGGCCATGGGACGCTTCTGGGAGCTGGCCAGGGAGGAGATGGACCTCATCGGCTACCATCTAATTGCAGATGAAGAGTAACTAGCTAGGGCAGGCGGTCCATCGATCGATCGAGTAGTATTACGAGATCGGACCATGGTAGCATAGCAAAGGCGAAGCAGTGCGTACCATATATCCTTAAACAGTACAAAATTAAGAAGTATTGGAGACAACAGTTAGGGACGACTACTATAACTTGTCTTAAGAAATATGATCCAAAGTTATATAAGGGACAAGTGTGTAAAGTTGTCCCCGTAAAATAAAAAAACAACTTTCAAAAAATTTTAATTGTCCCCAAAAAAGAAGTTTTAAAAAGGTAAAAACGTATGAAATTGATTTGGAAAAAAGATTGCGTTGGATTCACCATTATCACCTGATCTTAATTTAGTTTATGCTGGCGGATGATACTTAATTAATAGATTCTTCAATTCCCGATTTGTGTACGAAATTGTTCCTTGGCCAGAAAAAGTAGCAAACATAGATCTATAAACACTTTAAGCCATTTCAACCGTTTATTTATATAGACATTAATCTCAAAACTCTATATAAATTTCAATAACTACATAAACCCTAACTCATATTCCAGTCTTCAATCTTCCCCTTTTATCAGCCGCCCGGTCTTTTTTACTTCCTTCTGTTCAGCCTCTGCGTTTCTCAATTGGCACCAACACTCCTCATCCATTGTCCACCAGCGCTTCATTCTCCTCTTCAATGATGGCCGCCCAGCATTGGTGCGATTTAGATTAGTTCATTTTCCTCCTTATTTTCGATCTTTAATACACAATTAGTTTTAGATCTATCTTTCTTCGGCATGTCTATTTTGTTTTATAATCTAGAATTGACGATGATGATTTCATATGTGAAATTGTGGATGTTGCTCGGTGATGTTACGCTGGAGTGATACCTGTGGTGGCTAGACATGGTTGCGGCGTTTCGACGACGGCGATTGAGAACGATAATAAAATCAGCGGCAAAAAATTTTCTTTTGTAATTTTTTTCTGTTTGTATTTGTTCTATTTGTAAATTAAAAGTACAAAATATCGTACGAACAACAATTGCAATGTATTATTATTATTATATATTCAATTCTGATCAGATTATTGAGATGGCGTTTGAGTATGAGAAAATGAGACGTCATATTGTCCTCAAATAATCACAATATTATTTGATATCATATGGCACAAGCCTTCTAGGGAGACGATTTTTTTCTTTTTTTATGAATCTAGGGAGAAGATTTTTAGACTACATTTATCTCGACCCTATAAAAAGAAAAGGGGACGATGTATTATCTTTATATAGGTCCAACACAATCAAGAAATTGATTATGTGGGACAACAGATTGTTCCCGAAAATGATGTTTAGGGGACGACTTATTGTCATTACATTTATAGCTATAGGGACAATATGTTGTCTTCCATGAACAAAAATGAAATGACTACTTGCAAGTATCGGGGACGACTGTTGTCCCGAGTAATGGGGACGACCTAAATTTTTGTCGTCCCCAAAAGAATAGAGGACAAGAGTATAGGGAGCCACACATTGGAGACGACTAAGTCGTCCCCAAAAATTATAGGGACGATTTTTCTTATTTCCGGGGACGACTTTTTGTCGTCCCCAAACCTCCTCTTTTTTGTAGTGTATTGTTTTCAAGGCTAGTGGCCTAATACAAAAGCCGAACCCTGAAGACCTACACATGATCGAGCTATGGGTTCAAATTGAGGGTTTCCCTGCGGAGTTGAGGACTCAAAAGATGGCTGAGAAGATTGCTACCAGGTTTGAGGGCTTAGACTGGTTTGACAATCGGGCGGGAACTATGTGGGATGATTATATGCGTCTGGGAGTGTATCTATCTATCAACAAGCCACTGAAGAAGAAATTGAAGCTAAACATACAAGGCAAGTTAGTAGATTACCCAGTGAAGTATGAAAAACTTCCACTGTTCTGTTATTCTTGTGGAAGAATTAGACACCCAAAGCTCAAATGCAAGATTGAACCAAAACCAGAGGTGGACCCTTTTGGTTATGACTTAAGGGGTTCAGCACAGGGGCCTAAGAACTGGCTTTCCTACATAGCTAAGAAGGAGGATGCAGAAGTCTGGGCTGCATTACGGCAAAAACTGGAGATGGAAAGTATTGGATCCAATTCGAATCATGATATGGCACTTGAGATGTAAGAAACAAAAGTGGGAGAAGAAAATCCTAAGGAAAAAGAAAGGGAGACTAAGGAAACTGATCCCAAAGAGCTTATGCAGCAGGACAAAGTGGCAGGTCAAGTCCAAGAGGTTCTTGTTGGACCTCAACAATGTCCTGTGATACCAAATCAATGGACAAAGACATGGAAGACAGGAGGGATGAATCAGAGTGGGGCTCTAAATAAGTTCATAATGGGGAGCATGGATACTCGACCACTGGGGAGATCTACAGCTCGAGTGTGGAGAAGATAGGAGGAAAGTACACTCAGGCCTGCAGTGGGTACCCAGCTTACCCCGCAGAAAAGACAGGCAGTCCCACAGTATGATAACGACGTCGAAGGGAGACAAGCATGTCTACTATCTAAAAGACCTAAGGTACTGGATTTTCAAGAGAAGAAGGGTGTTGAGGGTGACGCAAACACAAAAATAGTGGATGGCGATGTGGTGGATCCTGCAAAAGAGCAGGACAACCCAGCTCAATGAGTTATTTAAGCTATAATTGCCGGGGTTTGGGGAGTCCCCTGGCAATTAAAAAGCTTGCTCGTATAATACGACGAGAAAACACCAGAGTAGTTTTCCTCATGGAAACTAAGAAACAGGATAAGGAATGGGAGGAGGTGGTCAATAAATTCCACGGATGTAAGGGTTATGGTGTGGGCTCTGCTAGAAGAGTAGGAGGTCTGATAGTTTTGTGGCAGGAGGACATTCATCTAGAAGTTAAAGGAAGTGCAGAAAATTACATTGACATGAAGATAGAAGAAGATGGGTATACTTGGAGGCTGACTAGAGTCTATGGATGGCCTGAACAAGGAAAAAAACATCTGACCTGGGACCTTCTCAGTTATTTGAAATCCCTCACGGATCTACCATGGTTGTGTTGTGGGGATTTTAACCTAATCCAACACTATGCTGAGAAGAGAGGGAAACAACCAGCAAAGCGAGAGGAAATGGATGGTTTTAACAGAGCTCTTGAGGCCTGTCAATTGGAGGATCTAGGTTTCTCTGGCAAGCCTTATACATGGGATAATAATCACAAAATGAGACTTTCCTAGAGGAAAGACTTGACAGAATGGTAGCAACTGAATCATGGCGGAGTTGCTACCCTGAAGCAGGGGTATATCATCTAAGACGATGTGGTTCTGACCACAACCCAATCCTCTTGAAAACCAATGTTTTGGCGGAGGATGTGAAATGGGGCAACTACTTTAAGTTTGAAGCTTACTGGCAGGACCATGTAGAATGCAAGCAAGTGATAAAAGATGGATGAGAAGCGAATGGCTTCGACTCAGTAATGGGAAGAATCAGGTTATGTGAGGCGAAGTTAAGGTGTTGGAGCAAGCAGACTTTTGGCAGTTTAAAATCTAGAAGGATTAAAACGGAAAGGGCTTTCGAGTGATCACTTGATGAACTAGACATCACTAAAGCCTACGACAGAGTCGGGTGGTTTTTCTTGGATGCTATTATGCTGAAGTTGGGTTTTGACTCTAGATGGGTTAAGATGATCATGACCTGTGTCATTACGGTTTCTTTTTTCATTCTTGCTAATGGCCATCAAACGGAGAAATTCTATCCTAGCAGAGGGTTAAGACAGGGAGATCCAATATCTCCCGATCTCTTCTTGTTCGTGGTTGAAGGCCTCTCAGCCCTGATAACAAAGGAAGAAAGGGAGAAACAGATTGAAGGACTAAAAGTCAAAAAGAATGCACCTCAAATCTCTCATCTACTATTTGCTGATGACAACATTCTCTTTACGAGGGCAACTAAGGATGAATGTGAAAAAGTGAAGGATATACTAAGTTTATACGAAGCTGAATCAGGCCAGTAGGTTAATCTCACAAAATCATAGCTATCTTTCAGTCCTAATGTGAGGAAGGAGAGACAGAAGGAGCTAGTTAACATTCTGAATATGAAGGTGGCAGACCATCACCAAAATTACCTGGGTTTACCTACCAATAGGGTTGGAAATCCGGTCCCGGTTTTCCGGTCAAACCGGAAACCGACCAGTTTAAACCGTGCCGGTTGCAACTGGAAACCGGATCACAACCAATCCAATCCAGTTTGCGATTGTAATACTCACAGGCCCGGTCCGATCCGGTTAAAACCGGAAAAACCGCACAACAAAAAATAAATAAACAAATATAAGCCAAGCCCACATATATCCCAGCCCAAACAAGCCTAGCCCGCTAATATCCAGCCCAAACAACCCATCCCTAGTCCCCCACCACCCCAAACCCTAATCACCCTCCTCTGTTCTCTCCCCCTCGACCCTCAACTTTCTCTTTTTCATTCACCGACCCACCACACAAGAGGAGTAGGAGAAGAAGAAAATCCGACCATCGGATCCATCCCGTCGCCGACCATCCGCCACCAGAACTCACAGACGCCAGTAGGGCTGGGCATGCGGGCGGATCATCCGCGGGTTTGGGCCGACTCACCCGCATTTGACCCGAATTTTGTTAAATGGGTGGATTTGTGGGTGGGTGACGGATTGCGCTGGGAGCCATCCGCCGGGTGGTGGATGGGTTGTGGGTGGGTGCGCGGGTGACCCGCTCAACCCAACAACAAAAAGATCAAAGTCGTTGGCGCTAGAGAGGGGAGAGTGGAGACGTTAGACATAAACTAGGACTGCTCCTGGAGTTTGAACCTCAAAGCCAACCTTCCAAATATCGATCTCCTCTTCTTCCCTTTATTTTTTCCTCTAATTCTTGTGCCTACATCACCGCTCTTTCCTTTGTATAATTATTTTCCTTAGTTCCTTGCACCTGATAATCATCTCAATCTGTAGAAAACTCTTTCATAATAAAATTTCTATCCAATTCAAGAACTAATTCGACATTTTTCGCCCTATTTCATCTTCTT